CGCCAGGGGCCGGGCCGCCTCCTGTCGTCATCCCGGGCAGGGCTCAAGCCCTGGCGCGCGCGCGCGCGCACCCTCCCCGCCCGGCCGGCCTGGCCCCAGCCCGCATTCTCAGAGGACTTGGGCCGCACACCCCACAACCGGCGCCCGGGGTGAGGCGCGTCACAGTCACACACACACACTCACACGCACCCTCTTCCCACCACACGACCCACTCATCTCGGGCCCCTCTGCATCCCCAGACTAATCAGACCTTTCTCTGGGTACTGGGCCAGGACAATTCTCTATTTCTAACCGCCTCTCTCCTATCACCCCATACGCCCACACTACTACTCTGAGCCGGGCAGGCCCCAGTGCCGAGGCGCCAGAAGGGAAAGGAAAGGCATTAACTGAGTCTGTACTACGCGCCTGGAGCTTTACCTTCCCTAGTCTTTCCGCCACCAGTAGCCCTGTCACCTATGCTCTGTTATGCCCATTTCGTAGCCCAGCCCACTAAGATTCAGGGAGTTGGAGAAGAGATTGAAACACAGTTCTTGACTTTGAAAACCCTTGCTCCTTGTGGCCCTTAAATCCTTACTCTTTTCTTCCACTTATCCCTTCCTTCCAGCCAGTTCCATCCCCACTAAGGAGCAAAATCCGTCCCTACTCTTTACCTCTTTCGGGAGGGGTTTGCTTGAGGGGAGGCTCAGGGCCCTGGGGAGCCCCCAACATCTGTCCTCCCAGCCCAGAGCACCCCAGCTTACGAGCTTGCAGGGCCTGTGGGGATGAACCACACGGATGATCTCCCCGGTTGGTATCAGCTCCACTTGCAGTGCCATCCTGCCCTGCAGAAAGCCAGCTTGCTGAGCACTGGAGCCTCTGAGCGCAGGCCTGCCTGCCCGCTTACTGGATCTAACTGCTGCTGGAGCTAGGAATCTATGCTCTCACGCCTAGTTGGCCAGTTGGTTCAACTTCAGCTCCAGCCCCAGGGGATGTGGCTGGTCCAGCTCTTCAGGACACAGCTGGAGCGTCCCAGGTCTGATTGGTAGGCCACTTGGCCCGGAGGCTTGGGGCAGGAAGAGGAGGGGCTGAGGGATGGAGGAAATGCCTGTTGTCCCAGGTAACCAGAGGAGCTGATGCAGCCGCCTGTGGGGGACCCTGGGCTCCAGGTCAAAGGGTAGGAGGCCTTTTCCCCAGCAGCTCCGTGGTCAGGACCTCTTCCGCTGCCCACTCCCTGTTGTCAGCTGGAGAGCACTGTGACCACTCCCCAAACCAGAGGCACATCCTCCCCTAAGCCAAGAGCGCCCACTAATAGGCACTGCCCCTCCTGCTTGTCCCCCCAACTTGCCTGCCTCCCACAGCAGCAGGTGAGCCCCTTGAACATGAGAGGCCAGGGCTGCTGAGGGCTGGCCATGCTGGGCAGAGGGGCTTGGTAAGGAGGCAGGAGGGTGCCGTGAGGAAATCTCTTGTTCTGCCCCCCCCCCCCAACTTCCTCTGAGTTTCCAATGCTTGGGAGGCTGATTCCTGAGTTCCTGGGGGTAGGCCACCTCTAGCCCTGTTTGCTCCTTACTTTTCAGTAGCACCCCAGCTGCCCCCACCCCTAATGTTCCTGTTTTTCTATCTTTATTGTTGCTAAATCACAGCTGACACTTTCCTGGCCTGGGACTGAGCCCTCTGGTCTGCAGCCATTCCTTATAGGAAGTGAGAAGGGGGAAGTGGATGGGGGAAATGGACTTTTCCAGAGGGAGAGGCTGGTATGGGAGGGGCTGGAGTCCAGTGGAGCTGCGCTGGCCTCAGCAGCCCCACAGGCAGGCATCTTTCCCCAGGCACCCTTCCCTTCCCTCCCCACAGCTTCCCCCGCCCAGGAAAGGTCAACAGAGCTTCCTTCCTTCCTCTGGGAAGCACATCTATCCAGGGCAGTCTCATCACTGGCGGCCACACAATGGCCCTTATCAGCCATGGAGCCAAGTGCAGACACCAGTGCACACCAAGTCTCACTTGTTTCCTGTTTCCACCCAGCGGTCAGGGCTGGGCCCAGAGCCGCCATATCCTGACTGGGGCCAAAAGGAGGGAGAACACTCCCCTTTCCCTTCCCTCCTCTCAATCACTACTAGACTCACCCCTCCCAGGGCAAAGAGGGGCCCTGCTAGGGAGGCAGGGGTAGGGGAGTGTGAAGACTTGAGGACGTAAGGAGAGAGGTGGACATACTCCAGAAGCAGGAGGAGAAAAGGGTGAACCCCTGGAGTCGGGGGGCCGAGACCCAGCCCCAGGGCTACATTCATCAGAACAGAGTTTACAAAGGGAAGGTAGGTATATGGGTACGTTGTGGATATACTGCTTTTTTATTTTTTCAATTATTTTCTCACAATAATCTTGTGAGTAGGTACATTATTCATATTTTACAGACAACTAAGAATCCTAAGAGGGTAGCAATAGAACCAGTGTCCAGGCTCCATTCCCGTTTCTGCTCCTGCCGTAACAACCACAGTTGACTATGTGACTTTGGAGGGACACACCTCTTCTCTGAGCCTTGGTTTCCCCATCTGCTAAATGAAGGGTGCTATGTAGCAGTGACCATGATGGCTGTGCATGTGAGAAGGAGCAAGGTGGACACTGGGGGCACTGAGGGCTCTGGGCTACCTCAGATGCGTGTATGTTGGGGGCAGGGATAGAGGCTTGCATGGGGGAGAACTCAGCAGGAAAGGAACTCGAGGGAAGTGGGGCAGAGAGAAAAGATGACATTTGGATAGCTTAACCCAGAAATAAGGCTCAAGACTAGGCAGTGAGAGGTGGAGGGTGAGGGAGGATGAACCAGTGAAAGCACAGCAGGCACCTTTTCTCTGAGCCTTCTCAGTTCCAAGAAACCCAATCTACTTAACAGCAGAGTAAACGAAGTGTCCAACAATGTAAGTTGTGTGTCCTAATTGGGCCTGGGACCCAGGGGGCCACCACCCAGAGCCTCGTCCCATTCCCATCTGGGCCACATATGCCAACCTTAGACACAGTCAATCTAGTTTGGACCTGCGGGGCTCTTCTCCCTGGAGTCTAGCAGAGTCCCAGGCTCACCATCCAAATGCCCTCCCACCACCATCATGAAGGAGTCACACACGAGTATAAAAGCCATGTTTCTAATCATCCCCAATGCAACAGACACAGAAAACAGACAGCATGGCCCGCTGGAAGCCAGGAGGGCAGCTGTTGATACACATGGCTCCCAGGGTAGAGTACTGACAGAGAGCAGCTGGGGAGACCCTCAGTCTCAGGTTGCAGGATGGGTGTTAACAGTCACAGAGCACGCTCCCTGAGGTGTCTTCTGGAAGAAGGGCTGCTGAGTCACCACTGGCCAGGGCAAGTGGTGGGAGTGGGGACAGGCCATGTCCATGCAGCACCTGGAGAATGTTCTCTGAAGATCCCTAGGGCCAGATCCTCCAAAATGTCCTGATCCTGGCTTTCTCCTGTCTACCCTTACTTCTAGGTCCAAAGAGAAGATTGGTTTCTGCCCAGTCATTCCTGGCAAGGGTAGGGGGCAGATAAGCTGGAGCTGTCAAGGACCACCCTGGAAAAATCTGTGGCCACATCTCCTCTACCACCTGCGTATCCTCACAAGAGGGGAGGTTGATGGAGGCTGGGGCCTGCCCCACTAGCAGAAGCTAACCACGTCCCTTCCAATTCTCTGTTTAGGCCCTGGAACTTCCTAGGTCGGACTCCATGCAGGGGACGAGGGGGAAGGTTGTGCTGGCATAAAGAGCCTCACCAACCTGCCCATGATCCCTATGGAAGAGGCTGGGTAGTGGGGCCCCTCCACCCTGCCCATTTAGCCATACTGCTCCTGCTGAAAGCAGAGAGCCCAGAGCCTCTGCCTATCCCTCAGGAAGACAAGCAATGAAATGCCAAGACTTCTGGACCCTGACACTGCTTGTGCCAACTCGTCTATGCAGCCTGTACAAATGTGAGCATCTCCCCTCCCAGGCAGCCCGAGGCCCTGGATGGTGTGACAAGAATGCATCCCTGTGCCAGATGGGGCATGTGCCTGGCAGGCCGGCTTGGGCGGGACTGTGGGAGTAGGGGTGAGGTGGATGGAGAAATGAGATGCAGGCTGAAAGGTCCTTCCCACGTCCTGTGGACTGTCCTCACGTTTTCACTGTTGACAAACTAGCTGGTTTCACTTGCATCTCAGCAACAAAAACCTGTACTTAAGCGGACAGTTCCAGAGATGTGGACTGGAGAGAGCAGAGATGTCAGGTTAGAGCTCACTAAGGGAACTGGAGTCAGGAACTGGAGGGTGTATGGCTGCCTCCTCAGGGAGCAGGCTGGGCCCCCAGTGCTCCTGGCAGTGGAAAGGCAGAGCTGGCTGCCAGCTCTGGCCTCCACCTTGGATTCACTCCTATCCCAGCTCACATCTGTAGATGGGCTTGACCCACTGCATCCTCCCCAAAATAGGAACGGGGCTGGATCTGCAGGGAGAAAACAGGTGGTGAGCAGAAGGGGCAAGAGTGGGCTTCCCTCCATGCCTTTCCATTACTTCCATCCCCTGATGGATACGGCTCCATGGGTACCAGTTGGATCCCTAAGGCCTGTGGCCTTAGGGAATGCCATGATGGGCTCAAGTTCTCTGTCATACCCTACCCTTACACCCACTAGCACCCCTTACCTGGAAGGGTTTGCTTATCCCCACCACAGAATGTAGATTGTTGCTATAATAACAGAGGAGAAACTGATCCTCAGTCTCGGGGATATCGCTGATGTTGATGTATACCTAGAGGGGAGGATGGACAGGAATGGGGTCAGTTCCACGGTCCTGGGCCCCAACCATCTCATAAGTTACCCAGCCCTCTGTTCCTTCCAGAAGATGGAGGAATGCTGAGGAAAGCCCGCATGCGGGGCATGTGAGATACCTGTCTCAGGAGGGGGCAGGTACCTGGTTCAGCCCGTCACTGCTAGAGACTTGATTGTCCCCGACCCAGACATAGGTCATGTAGTCATTTATGTGGCGCAGCCCCACCTGTGGAGGCGATCAGGGTGGTCAATGGTCTGGGAGGACAAGGGACCTACAGCAACTCCTAAGGAGAGGACAATCTCACTCCTGGGACTGGCCATCATACTGTATGCCGCCCTCCTCCCCTCAGTGCCAGCCCTTGGACAAGCAAAGACCCGTGGAGTGGGTAAGGGTGAGCCCCTCCGTCTCTGCCCAGGTCCCATGAGCTCCCAGGAAACACAAACCAGTGTGTGGCTGACAGACTCCCTGCCTCACCCACCACGTCACCTTGTATAGTCCAATCCAATCCCAGGGGCTGTAGAGGAAGTCTGGGGCCAAGGAGTAGCTGATCACCATGTCGTTCTCCATGGTCCACAGGCCCTCGGGGATCAGGGTGATCAGTGGGGCAGACACCAATGGCTTCATCTACACACACGGGTGGGAAGGGGTTGAAATCCCTTAACATCATTCCCCCATGAGGGGACCATCCTGTGACTTTCTGATGTATCAGGGTCAGTGAGGGGACAGGGCCACCCAGGGGAAATGGGCACAGAACTCTACTAGGTTGCCCTGGCAAGTATCAGACCTTGGCTGGCTAGCTGGAAAGACAAAGGGCCAAAGGCTTGTTGGCGTGGGCAGCCCTGCCAGGGAGGACAGGGCTGAGAGCCAGGTGGGTAACAGGGAGCCAAGTGCTAAGGGGTGAGGAGGGGAGTTGCTGAGAGGTTTAAAAAAGCTCTCAGGCTTCTAGGGTTCCTGACCCAAAGTCCCAGATCCAACTTTGCGGGGGTGGGTGTGAGACTGGTGAGAGCAGCTATAGGAATTTGGAAGGGCACAATGGTATAAGGACAGACAAACCAGTAGGAAAAGGCGAAGGCTGAAGGGGCAGCCAGCAGCCTGAAGGAGGAAGGAGATGAACACTGGTCATTAGATGGCAAGATACAAGGATGGAGGGAGCTCCCTTTGAAACTTGATTCCAGGTAAGTTTACGACAAATAAAAGGAAGTCCTACTTCACACAGCAGGTAACAAATGTAATACAACTCATTAGCCCCAAGGGAAGTATGGAGAGGAAATGGAAACCTACTCACAAAGGGTTTGAACATGTTTTTGACAGAGCCATCAAGGGCTCCTAAGAAGAGCTGGGATACCTGACCTGGGAGGAAAGGCAATCATGTCCTCCTCCAGGTCTCCCTGAGGGAAGAGCTGACATCAGAGTCCCGGGCTGGTGGGGTTTGGGGATGTGGCCCAGCACGGCTGTTCCTGTGCCAAGTGCCGGGCAGCTCGGAAGTTTACCTCTAAGTCAAAGGTGCAGGTGACAGGCTTATGGTCACTGATGCAGTACATCATGTGGCTGATGTAGCTCCTCAGAGACAGGGAGAAGTGGGGGGCTGGCTGACTAGGGGTGTGAAGGCTAGCCTGGGGCTGCCGCTTCAACCTCCATAAGATGCGGTCGGTCCATGCAGGCTTGCGTTTTTTCTCACTGGGGGTGGGGAAGAGAATAGGGAAGAAAAGGTAGGCATGAGAGCAGGAAGGCACCTCCATAAGCTTGCTGGAGTCCCTAACACTGGAGTCTCCCTGCTGGCCACGAGACCCCTGGGCCACAGCTGAGGTGAGTACCACAGCAGGTGGGAGGGTGCCATTAGAATCAAAGGTACACTAGCATTTGTCACCTCAGTCCAGCCTACATTTTTATGAATCAAATCGTGACTCAGAAACATTCCATTTCAAAGCTTTGCTTTTTTTCTTGAACACAAGCAGCAGATCAAAGAAGTTAAGATTTGAAATTTGCAAACAGACAAAGATAGAGCTTGAATTTGGTTTCTCCGTATACTAAAGGTGTGATCTTTGGGAAAAGAAAAGAAAGTATTTATGGAGTGCTTACTATGTACCTAAGACCCATACTGTTATCATTCACTCTTTACAGGTGAAAAAGTGAGGCTTAGAGGGTGTTATGGATTGAATTGTGTCTCCCCAAAATGTGTGTCAATTTGGCTAGGCCATAATTCCCAGTATCATGTGGCAGTCCACCATTTTGTGATCTGATGTGATTATCCTATGTGTTGTAAATCCTAACCTCTATGATGTTAATGAGGCAAGATTGGAGGCAGTTATGTTAATGAGGCAGGACTCAATCTACAGGATTAGGTTGTCTCTTGAGTCAATCTCTTTTAAGATATAAAAGAGAATCCAGTGGAGCAGAGAGGGGCCTCATTACCACCATGCAAGAAGAGCTGGGAGTAGAGTGTGTCCTTTGCACCTGGGGTCCCTGCACTGAGAAGCTCCTATACCAGCGAAAGATTGAGGACAAGGACATTCCCCCAGAGCCAACAGAAAGAGAAAGGCTTCTCCTGGAGCTGGCACCCTGCATTTGGACTTCTAGCCTCCTAAATTATTAGAGAATAAATTTCTGGTTGTCAAAGCCATTCACCTGTGGTATTTCTGTTATAGTAGCACTAGATAACTAAGATGGGGGGAAGTAACTTTCCCAAAGTCACATAAATACTAGAGGAAGCCAGGAGTCAAGGCCAGGAAGCATGACAAAAGAGCATGCGCTCTTAACATGCCAACCCCTCTTGGGCCTGTTTCCTAATCTGTGAAATGGAGATAGTAACAGTAGTTACTTCTTAGGGTTGCTGAGATGATTAAATGAGATAAAGCACATAAAATGCTTAGCACAGTGCCTGGTACAAAGAAAACGCTCCACAGACACTAGCAAATATGATTCTTTGTTCTCAAGAGTCAACTGAGACCTGTCTGTCATTCAATTATCAGCTTCCCCGAGGAGCATGAAAGAGGCTGTACAGCCCCTGGAGACAGGAGTACCTTTCTTCTCTAGGTAACTGAAGTTTCCCAAAGACAAGCAAGTCTCTGACCCCTGGCCTGCTCTGCCCAAGCAGCTACTGGGCCCTTCTCTAAGTCTGTCTGGGCCCCCAGGCCCCACCCTCCAAGTGGAGACTATCAGCCCTGAGTCCTAGACGTGGTGATGGGGAGGACAGTGGCTGTTACTGGGTTCCTCCCGTAGGTAGAGGCTCCTCTTTCTTGAATGAACCCAAAGAATAGTAAAGTGATCAGATGACTCCCTACTTTAACTTCAAACCTTTAAGGAGTCTCCATTGCCTCCAGAATAAAGTTTAAGTCCAAGTATGGCTTTCAAGGTGCTCAGGCATCTTGACCCCCCGGTCCCAGCTTACCTCCCAACACCTCCTAAGACCCACCCCACTTTGGTGATTCTCTCAAGCCTCCGGCGGTTTTTGCTGCCTGGAATGCCCTTCTTCATCTGGCAAAGCCCAATTCCAACACTGCCTTTGTCATAAAGCTGCTCCTGACCTCACCTTTCTGCCTCCAAAGCATTTTATACCAGTTCTTACACAATTACATCATATTGTAATTTTCTATTTCCCAGACAGTATATCAGTTTGTGTGTGAACTCTGAAGGCAAGCATTGGGCTCTTGGCGTCTGCTCTGTATCCCCAGCATCAGTACAGGGCCTGGGACATAGCAGGTAACCAATAAACTACTTACACAACCCGAGCAAGCTAAAAAACCCCAAGCTCGACCTCTCTACTCAAAAATACCCATCTGATCTTAATGCAGACAGTTCCATATACTTGTCATCAGTTAGAGATGTTATTCTTATATTCTATTTTAAATAAATATTTTTGACGTAGGGTCACTTCAGCAGCAATACAGTATGCCAATGATGGCGGCACAATGGCATGGAGGTGGTGAACTCTGCTCTAGAACTGGAGCACAGTGCGAGGAAGGCTTTGCCCTGTTAGTTAAGAGCTATGTGCCCTTGGGCAAGTGACTTCACTTCTCTAAACCTCAGTTTCTTTAACTGTATGATGGCGGTGACAACAGTACTCACTTTAAAGAGCAGTTGTGATGATTAAATAGATTAAGGTGTGTCAAGGGAGTCGTCAAGAAGTGGGAACTCTGGCTAAACCGCCCTGTTCTTGTGGGCTCCTTGGGTGGTTTCCAAACTTCCACTCTTCTGAGTGGTATTCAGAGGACATCTGAATGTGGTATTCCCATCCCAGAGGTGACAGACACTGGATCCCTGAATCCACCCTTGACATTCGGGGCCTAGCAATGCTTAAAGCAGTAATGATCTAAACTAATACACCATTCTCTTTCAAAGCATTCCCCTCCCCAACTTCCCTATTATGGCTCCTCCCCAACTTCCCTATTATGTTTAAGGGCCCACACTCGCTGTGGCTGCCACATCAGGGTCCTTCCCAATTTCCTGACCATAGACTGTCCCTTCTTCCTTCTAGCACCTCTTAGCCTGTCCCCTTTACTCTTTTTCCACTGCCTGGTCTAAGCTCGTCACTGGGCACCTGTGTTGTTCATTCTTTTAACTGTGATTTACAGAGCTCTTATTATGCACAAGGCAACTGAGGATAAGATAAACAGGATCCACACGGAGCTTATGTTTGACAAACAAAAGACAAGAAACAAATAAGCAAAATAAATGGGCACAAATTAAATATTACATATATTCTCCCAGTTCCCCATTTCTAATCATAATTGTGGAAAACTGGGTCCTTCTGTGTGTCAGGCACTATGAGAGTGCCTGACAGACTATTCTAAGCCTGCAGGCCAGGTCACATTTTTCTACTACAGGACACTGAGGCTCAGAGAGGTCTCCCTGTCCTGGTGGAAGGCAGATGCTTGCCCAGGTCTGCTGCCTATGAAATCCGTGTTCCTTCTACCATCTCCTCCAACTTGCCCCACCTGTAATCTGTCACAGCGGCAAGAACTGCCTTACAGGGTGCATCACCAGAGCGGGGCCTCGCTAACGCTTTTTGGCTGGATGGTCACAATTTAGTACAAGAATTGTTTACAAAGATGAATTGGTATGCTTTCCACTTTCAAAAAATTAAAACCAAGTAAGGTCGCTATGAGTCAGAATCGACTCGACGGCAGTGGGTTTTAGCTCTGCAGGATTCTAGAAAACCGAGCTAATTTACTGACCCAAAAGCATCTTTTCCTTTGGCTTCTTGTAGACGGGTTCTGTTTTTGAGTCTCACTGAGCTCTGGTTAACCTGTCAGGCACTTTAAGCCTCTGGGGCACAGATGGGACATAAGTCTTGACAAGATTGATCATAATCTCCTCTGCTCATTAGCTAGCAGAGAGAGTGGCTGGGCTCCCAGTGTCACCTGTAACAAAACCCTCCTGCCAATCCCTGGCTTTAACAGGATTTCCTGCCCTCAGCTCTTTCACCTGCCCCTGTAATGGAGCTGATCCCATTTCTCATTACATCTTGGCTTCAGCATAGTGCCGTGGCCGAGCAAAGCTGTGCACCATGCCCTGCACACAATTCGCCCTCAGTCACTTTGTACAGCTGGGACAGGCCAGGTTCCAGGCTGGGTCAAGCTCCACCCTCAAGGTGCCTTTCATCGGTGCTGCTGACTGATCAGAATACCAGCCTGGCTCCTTTCTGCCAAACTTTGCTGCCTTGACAGTAACTGTGATTGATTGACCCCTGCTGGCTTCGGCCACTCGCCTCCTTACCACTTGCTCCAACCTCCTTCAGCATTTTCATGCGGAGTTCTGGGAACCTTCTACTGGCCAACTCCTGGGCCTGACAGTGTTTATTTCGATTGGTTGCCATGGGTGGATCCCTCTACTAGACTGGCTGGCTACTCCTTAAATAGTGTCTTCTCCTTCTGTCCTCTTAGGCTCCCCATTCAAACATGTGCCAGGCACTGTGCTACATACCAGGGATGGTATAAATCAGATCACCTCTGCTCTCTGGGCAGTCAGAGTACAGCCAAGAAAGGCATACTGTGTGTATGTCTTAAAGGCAACCCTGGAAGCAGAGTGTGTGCAAGGCACGGAGGCAGTGTTAAGGGCAGGAGAAGAGCTCACTGTCAGTGAGACCGGGGAAGGAGGCTTCCCAGCAGAGATGGTGTCTGAACTGGGTTTTCAATGATGAATACCAGTCTGATCAGACAGCAGTGTCTCTGTTCCCGTGTAGGGCTCAGGCCCTGCCCACTGCAGCAACGCCCTGCTGCCTGTGGACCCTGGCTCCAGCCCAGAATATTTCAGTTTTGATGTCCCCTATAGTGTCCCTCCTTCTGCCCAGACATTCCTTCATTTCCTGGGCCCTGGGCAAGGAGAAGCAGTACTGAAAGCTCATGGTCTGGAGACACACAGAGTTGAATTCTAACTCTTGCTGGATCAGTTAGTTACTCTGTTACTGCCTTACTCAGATATTCTCTGAGACTCAGTTTCTTTGTAAAAAGTCAATAATAAGTGTTTACCGAGTGGGGACTTGGTAAGAATTAAGTTAAGTGATGCCTATAAAGCCCTTTGCACAATGCCTGGCACATGGTAAGTGCTCAATAATGTCAGTCACAATGAGCTATTATGTGGAAATTGCTATCTGCCTCCTCCTTGGCCAGCATCTGCTGTCCCGGTCTTGCCCTCCTTTTTGCTGCAGCTGGCAAGACTGGCTGAGTTCTGAGGCCCTGTGGGCTAGGGGACAGCACTGTAGGCCACACAGTCCAAAAAATCAGGTGTGAGCCCCAGCACTACCACTCCCTAGCTGAGCCACCTGGGGAAGTCGCTTAACCTCGTAGCCTCTCAACCCACTGTCTGCCCCTGCCAACTGCAGCCCAGACCCAGCTGTTTGCAACCAATATCCAGTCTCTGTGGACTATCATCTCAGGGCAAAAGGACACATGGCCATATGGCCTGTCACTAGATTTCTTCCTGCTGCAAGTGAGGTTTAGAAGTCAACTGGGAAAGGGTCCCAGACCTCAAGGCTCTAGTCTGTCCCCCGAAGCCTTATCCTTCTGGTGGCTGGTTGGGAAGACTGGCAGTCTCCCTCGCGGCTGTGGATGTGGGCCAACCAGCCAGCCACAGCATGCCCTCTTACCTGCTTCCTGCCTGCTCCATTGCCCAGACTGGGCCCTGTCCACAGTGTTCACTGCCTCCTCTTATGTGGACTTCCCTGGCTGTGACCCCACTCTGTCTCGCTCCACGATCCTGAAATGACTCATTCTCTCCTCCTTCCTTGGCGGGGACATTTTGGTTCTGCCATACCAGTTCCAACACCAGACCTGCAGTTTTACCTCTTGTTCTGACCTGGTTGTGGGGATACATACTCATCCCCTAAATGCCCAGAGGCCTGGGCTGCCCTGCAGGCACCACCTTCCTAAGACAGTCTTGCTGGGAGGAAGTGAGGCGCTGCCTGCCATAACACAGAAAGGGTTCTTTTCCTGCAAAGAGATTATGGTCCTTACCCTAAATTGAGTCAGGGACCTGTTGCCAGAGCTGCTTTTGCCCCCCTGCTTAAGCCCCAGTTTTAGGGGTTACCTGGCCCCTTCTCAGCTTCTTAGAAAGGTTTTCAGTAAAATTACCACCGGAAGACATAAATCTAAAAATAACAATAGCAGTTATCAAGAGTGCTTACTGGTGCCAGGCACTGGGCTCAGCATATGCAAGTCTCATTCAATCGTCAACCCCATGAGGTGGGTATTGTTATCATCCCCATTTTATAGATGACAAAACTGAGGCTTAAATACCTTGCCCAAGGTCATACAGCTAATGAGGTACAGAGCTGAGCTTCTAACTACCAGATGCACTATCTCTGTTTTGTCCCCCACAAAAGTCTTCACTAATTTACTACTTCATCTTCCCACACATTTCCTGACCCACTGACAGACCAGGGCAGGAGGACTTAATAGCATTAACTGGCTGAGCTGAGCTTTCTGCCCCGTCTGGGTACCAGAAGGTCCTGCAAAGTGGGGACAGGGGTTCCCAGGATGCTGAAGTGCAGTCCCTCCCAAGACAGAAGTCAGCTGACTCCACCCCTTCTCCCCAGCACCCCCGTCCTGCTTTCTCTGAGGACCATCTAGGACAGTGCCCATAGCCAGCATCTCACAAGGGGAGTAGGAGGCACTGCTCCAGAGAGGTGCAGGCTGTATCTATTCCTGCTTCCCTAACACTTATATTCTGAGGCAGCTCCCAATGCCACTAGGGCTGACACAACCCGATTTCCTGGGCCTCCTGGCCCTTTTCTTAAGTTGGCCCACTTCCTCCTCACAGGCTAATTCCAGACCCATGGCAGGCTGAGCCCCTCCTGGCAGGGCCTCCTCACCTGGTGTCATAGTTGCTGGAGTTCCTGTCAAATTTGTAGGTGGGTGGGAAGAGCAGGGGGCCCTCCTGGAACTCTCGGAGCAGTGGGTCACGTTTTTTGGCAATGCTGAGCTGTAGAGAAAAGCACAGTTCCCATCTCTCAATAGTCCCGACCCAACAGCCCAGCACCACACTCCAGTCAAGGGATCACACATGCCATCATGAGTGGGGCAAGAGTCAAGCAATGCCACTCCACTTCCTCACTGCTCTGTGGCAGCCTCAGCTTCCCCCTCCCCACCCCGAGACAGCAGCTGAACCCATTTGGAAACATTACCCCACAGTCCCAGGGGAGGCAGCTGCCTGCCATTTCCCAGTCCTGGACTACAGGGACCATGCTTTGAATTCCATCTCTCTAGGAGCCACTAGCAGGCATGTGTCAGAGGGGAAGAAAGCTGGGGTAGCCAGGGTCCCCCAAAAGGGTGGTATCTCGTCCTCCAGGAAGCAAACAAGTCTGGGGATGGGAAAGATGACATGACAAGGTGGGAATTTAACAGCCCAAGAACTTGGCAGTCGGCTGCTCAAAGTCAAGCAGGCAGAGGACGAGGAGGCAGGGATGTAAGTGGGTTGATGCATGGCGCAGGGCCATGGCAGGCCAAAGGCCTTCTCGTTCCCTATTCTAAACACACCCAGCAGCTGCACCCCATCTCCTCCAAGTAAAGACCAGGCGCTGACAGGATGGGCTGTCCCACCCCCACGTGTGAAGCCCTGCTAGACTCCTCTCTGTCCAGGAACAGGGCCTTCTGAGGCTGGGAAAGGAGAACAGCCACTGGGGATTCTGAGCCACTCTCCCCACCCGTCCTGTCGGACCACAGGCTCAGACCACCCCTTGGGACCCTCCCCTCACTCCATACCTGATCCTTCTCCCACAGTTCACCATAGCACTGGTTTTTTATGGATTCCCGAACAAAGTGCAACCCAAAGTCCTCGATTCGAAAGTTCATGTCTCCGAACCAGAAAATGAGGCTTCAGAAAGAAAGGAGGGCAGCCTGAGGGTTTGTGACAAATTCAGAAAAGGGAAGAACAATAGGTTGCTCAGACCTGCTCAACCCAGGGGCTGCTGGAGAGTGGGGAGCTCCAGGGGGCAGGTGAGAAGCCAGATGCTAGGACAGCATCAGGTGAACCCAGGGCATGGGCCCAACCGTACTGTTCTCATGGCTCCTATACCACCATTTAAGCCGAACAGACCAGCCCAGAGGGGCAGGTGGCAAATATGGAGCAAGCTGTAGCTCTCCCTTCCTCTCCGTTAACTGGCCACCAGGAAAGGCTCAGAAAGAGCCCTTCAGGTGACCTCAGAAACCACAAGGATCTTGACCTGGGATGTTTAGAAGCATCCATGGTTTCTAGCCAGGACAGAGGGGCTAGAGGAAGAGAAAAGGGATCCCAGAGCCCAGGCAGGCAAAGCTGGGTAGGAGGGGGAGATGGGGCATTAGGAAGGGGCTGGGAGAGGGTGGGAGACAGAGCACGAGCTGACTCTGGCTGGGGAGCCATGACTGGGGAGAGGATGCTAGACTGGGTTGGCATGGGGGAGAGGGCCGGGGCAGCAGTTTGCAGCTCTGTGCTCACTCATGGTCCAGGATGTTGGGGATATCATGTTCTTCAAAATTCTGCATCTCCAGGATCCGGTCAAAGTGCTCCAGCCGCTGGTCATTGTTGGCCAGATGGGGGGGCAGGTGGCAGTTGATGATGCTTACATAATAGCCGTAAAGCTTCAGGCAGATGTTGACGCCCCCCTTGTTCCCCTGGTAGGACAGGTGGCAGAAGGGTGGGAAGCTGCTCTGGGTTGGACACACTCTTCTTTCCCCATCCTAGGCCTGACGGGAGATAATCTCACCTCCCCCGGGGCCCTCCCAGGGCCAGACATTCACCTTCCCAGGGTGGGTAATCTCTCATCCATAGCCCAGCTCACCCAGCCTAAGGTCTCAAGGCTATTAAGCCCCCTCTGAGGAGGGAGAATGAGTTTGTAGGGCACTGGCCTGGAGAGAGTGCAAAGGTTCCTTTCCCTCCTTTTTCCATTTGCCTGGTTCTAATGCACCCAGCCCTTCCCAACCAGGAACAGGAAGCCTTTCCTGCTCATGACAACTCAGTCCTTACCCAGTACCCGAAGAGGCCAGTGGGGGTGGACTTGGTAGAGAGGATCTGGATAAAGGGCAAATGCTGATGCTTGGCAAAGACCAGTAACAGGAGCCCCTGCATGCGGACACAGGAGACCTGCAGGAGAGTGGGGCAATGGTCGTTCACTGAATGCACAGGCTGAGGGCGTCCCTGCTAGGCCCTTTGCTGGAGGTGCCAGAGAGCCCTGAGACACTCCGTGCCCTGTCCCAGGGTCGATGGTATCCCAGTATGAGCCTCAGCGTTTCACTCCTTTTCTTTTCTCATCTGCCAAATCATGCATTCTGGGAACTGAGCAGGTTTCAGTTTCGTCTCTTGGACCTGGGGAGGAGGCGAGAGAGGACCAGGCTTCCAGGACACCCTGCCAACAGGAGGGCATTACTCTTCAGTCCCTGCCCAGGCATGCCTACTGTGTGCCTCTCACCACTGCCCTTCTGAGATCCTCTGGGTCCTCTGGGGCTGCCACTCAAGCTGGCAGGGCCTCAAGAAGCAATGTGACGACTCAGTGGAGTGCTAGGGAGGCTTTGAAGTTTGCAGGATCTGGGTTCAAATCCCAGCTCTGACTTAGTATTTGATACTGAGCATATTTCTCAGTCTATTTTCTCACTGCTAAGCAGGAATAGTACTACTGCATAGGTCTTATGAGGATTAACTGGCAGCTGTTATTTTTTGGTTTAAGAACTCTTCAAAGTAAATACAGTGAAGGAGCATGAGAGAAACTTCCAGGTGCTGGAAATATTCTATATCTCAATTTGGCTGGTGGTAACATGGGTGTGTACATATGTAAAAATCCATTAAAGTGTACACTTAATATTTGCACACTTTTCTGTACACATACTTCAATTAAAAAAAAAAAATTTAAGTAAATGCCCCCTCCCACAAATAACTATAGGCTGTGGGCAGATGGATGTTCATGAAGGCAATGCAGAGGGGATGACAGTGAGTACAATGGACATGTGTTCACAGAATGGGGAAAATAGCTAATATCTACTGAAACGCCTTATATACATTATTTCATTTAATTTCCCACGCCAAGCCTGTAGGAGTCACTGTCATGTTTTACACATGAGAGAACTGAGGCTCAGGGAGGTTAAGGAAATAGTAGGACGACCTGGCGAGCTGCATCAGAGGACTAGGACGGCCCAAATTCCCACTGTCTGAGGCCACGGGGGGTGGGGTGGGGATGGGCCGTAGCCAATGACCCTCTCTCTTAGGTTCAGGCTGTCTACACCCACCACCCGAGTAGCTGTTTCCGGAGCATAAGGTGCAGAGGCCAAGGAGGAAATCCCCGGGTGGGGAGCATGTACTGGGGCCTTCCAGGAATTATGAAACATGATCCCACAGGCCAGGGAGTCCTAGCACAGTGGAGGAGTCAAAGCAGGGGGAACCCCAAACCCAAGACTTGAGTAGGGGAAGCGGTACAACCTATGGTTGGGCAAGGTTATCAGAAATGTATCCTAAGACCTTTCTCCTGTCTTCTCTCCCTCCCATTCACAGGCTTCTATGACGAGGGAAGTGGAAGAAGGGGTGGAATATGAGGGACTGATTCCCAGGGTCAGGATCGGAGCTGGGGAGCTGATCAAGACTCAGGAAGAGTTTCAAGCTTAATCCTAACCCGCAGAGCAGGTTTGGCCTACTAACCTCTACCAAAAAGGCACCACCAGTCCATTCTGTGAAAGAACAGGGATACAGGGTGGAGGATGGGGTAGGAACTGGGCAAGATCAGCCTGGGAGAAAGGGTGGGGCTAGGGGGAAGGCAGGCAACTTCTAGCGGAAGTTCCAGTAGAAGGAAATGAAGTGGGAGGAGCTAAGGAAGGGATTGGAGGGAGGTAGCTGGGAGTCTGGGAGCAGGCAAAGGGGCCAACCTCTAGCTTCTCAATCTATGGTTGGCAAATCCCCACCCAAAGAACAGGCTGCAGACAGGCTCTCCTTTCCACCTCGATTTTTGGCTGGAGGAAGGAGGGACACTTGCTTTGGGTTCCAGGACCTGAGGCTGGCCTTCCAAAGTCAGGAGGCTGCATGGGTGGAATGGGTTGTGTCCCTGCCACAGCTGAGCTAACTTCCTTGGCTCAGTTCCATTCTATCAATCTCCTGCCAGCCAGCCAAGCACAAGGCTTTCAGCCCTGGGAGGGGAGTAGGTGGTGAGAGAGAAGTGGTTCTGCCCTCTCCGGAAGATCTAGCTCCAAGTCCACAGGAAGAGGTCTCGGAGTTTGATTTGGAGGGAACCAAGTGCTCAGGGGCTGGCAGTTTCTAGGATCAAACCATGTGTTCCCTCCTCCCTCTCCGCACTCAGGCAAACTAACCAGAAAAAAAAAAAAAAAAAAAACCAAACCCATTGCCGTTGAGCGACTCATAGTGACCCTATAGGACAGAGAAGAATTGCCCCATAGGGTAGAGAAGAATTGCCCCATAGGGTTTCGAAGGAGCAGCTGGTGGATTTGAACTGCTGACGTTTCGGTTGGCAGCCATAGCTCTTACCCACTACACCACCAGGCTTTCCCAGGCAAACTAGTGTAATGGAATTATCCTGAATGGGTCAAAAGGAGCCTACCTAGGGAAGGGACAGAGGTGCAATGAATGGGAGTGTGTTTCGCTCCTCTGGTGTGCAGAGCAGAAACAAAGTGAAGAGCCACCAGCCCACAGCCTGTCCTGTGGATTCACCTATGGTCTAAAGATTTCCCAAAGTATACAGGTTCCTCAGCCTGAGGACCCTTTTTTTCCACATCTATCTCCCTTCCCCTTACCTTGAGCCCTTGGGGAATCAAGGTACATATCCCCTATGACGGGAGGATACCCTCTGACACCAGCAGGCTAGGCATGGGATACTGCTAGCCTTATAGCTCGTGACTACAGCGATAAAGCAGAGTAGTTAAAAACATGGGTTATGAAGTTTGAAAGATATGGATTCAAATTCCAGATAGCCTGTGTGACCTTGGACACGTAATCTCTGAGCCTTGGTTTTATCTGTAAAATACTCCCATTTCAAGAGGGTTGTTAAAATTTTTATATAACATACATAAAGAGCTTACTTGTAATGTTTAACACAATTAAGTCTGATAAGTGGTAGCAATTATTATCACATTCAGAGATTTCAGGCTAGGTGTGTGAGCAGAGATTGGAGATTAGGGATAGGGTAGGTATGGTGGTATTAACAAGCTCTGCTGTACCTCCCTGAGGAATTCTCCCAACCTGAAAAATATCAAGGTATTAAACTAGCCCCTTGGGTCTCACTCAGCTCCAGCTACTGTGGAAAGCCACAATGCAGGCAGGAGCCCCAGGGGAGCCAACTGTAACTGAGATTTATACCTCTAAATAAATGAGAAGCAGTGTAAAAGCCTGAGTGGGAGTAAGCAGAACACATTGACCAAAAGACCGGGGGTTAGTGATAAGAGGTGGGACACATTTCCCCATTGCAGATGAACTTGTAAGTTACCTTGATGAAGCTCCGAGGGGAAAGCACATCCATGAAGAAACTGCTCCATGGGTCTTCAAAGGCAGTGTCATAAAGGAGGCTCCTGATCCCACAGTTCATTTCCTGCAAACTGACCACCCCAGGTCAGAGGCTCTACCCCTGGCCTGGAGGGTACTGCCTCTGCCACACTTAGTCCTACCCTCACCAGACTTTTAAGCCCTGGGTTCTGATGACCATGGTCTCTTCCTCCTCTGGATGTTGGTCTCCATCACCTTGTCACTGCTGACCCAGGACAAGAGACATGGACCAGACCTGATGCAGGCTGAAAGCTCCTAGCCTTCAGACTCCAGAGGGAGGGAGGACAGATTACAGTGGTTCCCCACAGGGACAACTTGTGATTGGTTGGGCTCACCTGACCTCAGACCTAGGGGTGGGTGAAGGGGCCCTGCAGACACCTACCCAATAATGTATATATCCACATTCAGGTTCTGGTTGTTCAGCTGAAGCAGGTCATTGAGGTCTAGCGGGGGTGCTGCAGAGGCCACGTTCCATGTTGCAACATGTATACTGTGGAGAGGATGCAAAGGGAGATCATGGAAGAAGGAGGATAAGACCTTGTTCAGGTAATGGGAAGGGGTCTAGGCCCGCTAACAGCTGTACCACAATCCAATGTAGTTATAAAGAGGAAGGTGAGATTCTGTATCTGGCGGTGGGAAGAGGGGCAATGAACAACAAGCCTTGGTTGTTTTTCACCTTAGTCTCCTGAGGCAAGAAATCCTCACTCTGAATAGCTTCTCTACACAGGCCTACAGCTGCCCACACTTGGCAGCACTGGTGCTGCTTACACTAGCAGACTACCAAAGGGAGCCCAAGGTTTCTGGGTCAGGCACGGGAAGAGGTGCGGGTGGGGTGGGCAGTCAGGAACTTGTTGATCCCATCACCTCCACGAGCCATCCAAAGCTCAGCAATCATGGCACAGGCTGCAACTGCCCACCCTCACTTTCTCAACCCAATGATTCCTGAAACTACCAGAAGATCCTGGAGGCTCAGTTTTCACCTTGTGAGAGGCCTCAACACTACAAAGACAGGAAAAATTAAAAAAAGAATAGCAATACCACCACCACATTCTCTTCCTCACTGCTTCCTAGCAGATCCTTGGAGCACAACCAATTCTGCTAAGCACTGCAGGCCTAAGGAGAAACTTCTAAGTAACAGGTTTCTCAGCATCTCTCTAATGAGTCTGTCCTCCTTTGGGAAAAGTCATCACCTGGATAACATTCTCCACCTCAACTTCATACAAACCCTAGGGAAGCAACAGCACTAAGTCAGCAGCTCTCAGTGACACTGGATGGCATCAGAGGCTCAGGGGAAGGTGAGACTTGGTGATCTTTTTAACTGAATTGTCACAGAAACACCCCAAGGAAGCCCCAGACTGTGCTGAGAACAGAGGAGACAGGGGATGCAAACCCTGCCGAGACCAAGAACATCCACCAAGCCTCATATGAGTTCTGGTGTCCACACCACGAGGAGGATCTGCAGCAACTGAAGACCTAGAACGCGACTGGGGTATAGGGGGTGGAGAGGTGGGAGAAAAGGGCAGGACATCCCAAAACATCTCCACAGGACCCTGTTCTTGAAGGTCTATGTCTTAAAAAGCATGACTTGGAAGAAATCGTTAGCCTGCTTAAAGCAACTTCCTGCCCCTCCCTAAGAACACAAAAAGCCAAACACAAACTACCTTCCCAGGCACTCAGCCTGATTAAGTGCTTCTTTGTTTACGATCTCCCCCTGCTGTCCAGCAGAAGATTAAGAAGTGTGGCCCTTTAACTCAAAGGCTCCTTGTTTTCCCAGGATCCTGCTCTAAGTGGAAACAAGAGCACAGCTTGGGATTTCCTGCCCCAATTCTCAGCTCCAACGATTCAGCAGCAAATCCTTGCATTGTGACCAGCATCAAGTTGGTGATCAGCGTTGTTCCTTGGTTAAGAAGCAGGCATGGGACTAGGCTGTGTTACTTCACTAAAGGATTTTATCTAAATCTGATTGCAGATTTCAGGAGGTCACAAGCAGATTAGACAGACCCCATGATGCATGTGCTGATCAAAAGTTTCGGCACGATTTCTACTCTAGGGCTGAAGGAAGAATGCCTTGTTCTGTCTCCAAACAGCCCAAGACGGCTGCCTCCTCCAGAGGCCAAACGGGACACCTGCGTGGGGTGCCCCAAAGAGAACGAACTCGGAAGCCTGAGTTTAAAGTGGGCGCGGGACTCGTGTCCAACACAGCCCTCTCGAGAATGGCCTGGGAGGGTTTGGGAGAGAAGCATTTATCAGAGGAGCGGTTGGACGGAAAGCTGCCCATGGGTCAGGCAGCCTCTGAACCAGAGGCAACCAGTAGGCCCGTCCCCTTCTCTCCCAGCCAGGGTCCGCCCGCAGATCCACAGTCCCGACAGGGTCGGAGGGAGTAACCCTGCCCAGAGCAGGCCTGCCTATGGCAGTCTTCCTCACCTGAACTTCTGGTCTCTCGGCTCGGTTGGCTTCAGCAGGTCCACGGCCGCCATCGTCCACACGCAGTGGCGCGGCAGGCTCCCGTCTCCCCAACCCTACCCCGTCCTGGCACGATCAGCCTCCCCGGCGTCAGGTCCCGGAGAACTCACTCTAGGCCGGGTGTTTTTCTTCCGGATTCAGAACCTCCGCCTCGGCTTCCGTAAGAGGCGGGCCTTGAGCGCACCGAGGGCTCTAGGTGGTGCGGCTCGAGGAAAGAGGCGGGACGCTCCAACGAGCGCGAAACGGTGAAAGGCTGAGGGGAGAGGGGCTTACGGGATCATGGGACTTGAGAGGCGTGTCTTCTTGGCATCAGAGCGAGACGCAACACTGCCCCACCCGGCCTACCGGTGTGTAGTAGACCCCGACGGCCAAAACACATCACAGTCCGCAGCCTGAAGCTCCCAGAGCGCCGTGCGCGAGGCGGGCCGGGATCGTCTTCCTGCGGAAGCCGCCGCCACGCCCGCGCGGGCATCCTCGAGCCGCCTCTACCCACGTTAACTCTCCGAGGCTGGTGGTCCCTTTTGCTGAAGATGAATCTGAGGTCGCTGACCGCTGCCTGTCTTTCCTCCAGTTTCCCAACGGCCAGAGACCCAAATGATGAAGGGGGTGAGGTAGTCTAGCCGCTGTCTTGCCTGTAATCCAGTCTCATCCCCACGAACTACAGGCAATTTCTCCAATTATCACGTTGATCATCAAGCTCCTCCTTTCTTGGTTTTCCTTCTCTACTCCCACTTTCAAGTGTTTTACGCTTTTAAAACTCATTGGATTACTTATTGCACACGGGACATTTTGGGGCTCCTGGACTCTTAGAAATTAACCATCAATGAATGAAAAACAAGTCACCGCCTCTATTTTACAACCAGACATATGAATGAAGGCTATTTTGCCAAAGAAATACTATGATTTCCTTCAAATCATTTGGTTCTTACTCTTTTTTTGGGGGTTGGGGGAAGGATGGGATTCCTTTGAGGATCTGATGAGAGACATGACTCTCCCCGGAAAAATGCACACACAATTTTACAAGCAAGCCTCAGGAGGTTCCCAGACCCAGAAGCCAGGCTAAGAACTCTCACTTTAAATGCTTTGCTTGGTAGAGAGGGAGATGTGAAGAGGAGGGGAGACAAAGGCAATCTACCAGTACAAAACTAAGTTATACTCAGATATGCAATGTTTGCATATGGAAATTGATCAGGGAATGTTTTAATTTACAGAAATCCACCTGCACAAATTTTTAGACGCATCTTGCACCCTTCCCTAATCCTTCCCTGGTAAAATAGGGGTCATCAGCAAGAATTTGAGAATATCTAAGTTGTAAAATGTACATAAGGACATCACCAATAAGCTGGACTCCAGAGAGCTCTGTCTAGAATTTTATTAGACTGCTTTTTTTCCCAATATACCTGTATTGGAAGATTGAGACAAAAAGGCACAAACTCACATTAAATAAACAAGGTAATCTAATCAATTCTACAAAGTGTATTTTGTAAAAGAAGTAGCACTAGGAACCAACCAAAACAAGTCAGGGGGGTCCCGGCAGGGACTGTAAGAGAACTTGGGAAGGTATACATGTGCCCACAATACTGACCCTGTCCCCGACCTCTCTCCATGAGAAGGCCTGAGCCCAGTACCCCTTCTACAGAGGCACTGCTGCTTCCAGACAGGAGTATGTCCCTGGAAATCTAATGGAACCAGCTGGTCTGAAGGGGTGTGGCACATACTCGGGTACTACCCCTGGAGCTGAGCTGTTCATCATAAGCCCCTCTGAGTGCTAGCCGGTTTGGGAGATGGGTGAAGAGGGAAGGGGGTATGTAAAAGAGGTCGACCACTGTTGCCCAGCAGCAACACCATCCATCAGGATGAACTGGACCAGGGACCTGCCTCTTCCATGTTTATGTGGGCAGGAGCCCAAGATCCAAGCTGACCTCAGGAAATTCAGCTCATGTAGATGCTTTTATTCCAGGTTAAACTGGGGCAACAGGTGAAGGTGAGAAGAGCCAGAGAAAAGGCAGCTAAAGGAAAAGCCCCCACTAGAGCTGAAGTGATATGTGTGGATGTCAAAGAGCTGAAGGAAGAAGACATCTGCTGATCCTCAAATCACAAAAACAACTGTCTGCTTAGAATATCAGTTTGTTTCTCTCAGGATAACCCACATCTAGACTTCACTTAGTTAATGACTGAAAAATGGAACTCTTTAAGCACAAATAAAAGTAATAGCTAAAACAGCTTGTAGGAAAACATTTATATTTTTCTCCAGTAGGAATGCCTCTTCTCCAACTTCCCAGTCAAATAAATGCTACCAGCAGTTGGGATGCTAATAACTAACTGAAATGCCCCAGATCCATTACTATAGGCTCCACAAGGTGAGGAGACTAATAAGGTGTCTGTAACAGGACATCTCCTGGTCCCACAGGGGTCTCAGTGAAGGTCAGCTAATCACCCTAAGGGGTCTGAGTCTGTCGAACCCTGCCCCAGAAGGGCCACAGGGAAGCATCCATCGGGGTGTCACAGGTGCAATCCTGTGAGACACTCCCTTATTGCACTTAGAAATGAGTAAGGCAAAGCAAACTGACAAAAACATAAGGATAAATTATCCCATCCCACTCCTCGCTCCCCTCACAGAGATTCCATCTCTTATTAGCAGTTGCATCCAGGCTAGCTTGGGCCTGGATGACTGCACATTCAGGCCAGCAGACTTCACAAGGTTTGGGAGAGAAATGTCAGGTGACACCACAGCTATCTCAGATTCTCCCACCAGGCAGGCATACTCCAGTTCTGCCAAGTTATAGGGAACTGTGAGCCCCTCAGCAGGTTCCATCCACCTGGAGCTTGGACTTCCTCACCAGCCTACTTTGCTAGAGTTCTGTACTACAATCGCTACCTGCATCTCATTGTCCAGGACAGAACTCAGCATGGGGACAGGACAAGCTGACTCCCTGATCCCCAGATTCCTTTCCAGCAACCCTGGAGACAAGAGGGAACATGATTTGCTGGGAAGGAAGCTTTTTGCGTGCTCGTTTTGTGCAGCATGAAAAGATCAGGACTCGGGCCCTAACCAGCCTCAAAGACAGAGGACAGGGATCTAAGAAAGCACAGAAAAAAGAGGATTATTGCTGAGTGGCAGCACCAGCCCAAAAGGGAATAGGAGCATGGACATACAGAGCTCCTCAGGGGGTAAGACTGATGAGTATATACGGGGCAGACTTAATTCTAAGGGCCAAACTGGACAAGGTCCTCCAGGTGAAGAGCTGGCTGGGGCATATGGCAGCCTCTGCAGAGAGGTTCAGACTAAGAGTGGGCAACAGGAGGGCTGAGAAGTCATAGGTTTTTCTAGGAATAGTGGCCAGAGGTGCAATGCCTGGTGCTGGGGTTATCTGTACTTGTTAAATTTTCTTAAAAAGACTGGCTGGGCCTTGGGTGCTTCCTTGGTGCTGAGAGCACTCTAACAATGGGTTACTGGGAACAGATGTCCGAGTTATGAAGCTACACTGCTATTCTGTGGAACTGGGGGGAAAAACGCTGTATTTCTAACTCATCCCCTCTCCCCAGGTGAGCACTCAAAATTGCAAAGATCTGCCCTGGAAGCAAAATACCTCAGTTTATCCCAAAGTTAAAAACAAATAAACTTAAATCATTTAAATCACCACATCACAAAAGGCAGCTATTTTGAAAGACTAAAAATGTCACTTGGAAATAAAGCTCGGTGGGGGGGGGCACACAGAGAAATGGGTCAGAACACAATGGAGAGAGAGGGAGGAGCTGTATATACAGCAACCTACATGCCACACATCTCAGCGGGGCAGCTCCCACACACACGGGCTTCATAATACCAGACGGTCTATTTGTTCACAATAGGAAAGGGCATCTAGGATTAGCTACAGTAAGGGATCGAAAGGTGCCTGAAGAATGGGCACAGAAAGGCTGCGTCCGGAGATGGCCTGTCGCTCGGGAAGGTGGAGCTGCTGGGCCTTCCTGTTGACCACTGTCTTGCAAAACTAGAAGAGAAATACAATTATTAAGGAAGCAACAGGGGAAAATTGAAACACACTATAAATCGCCTTTAATGGGAGAATTTCAAAAGGAGGAAGGATGCCAGTCAGTGGAGGGGTTAGGGTGGAAAGGGAGGACACTAAGGCCCAAAAAGCGACGAGAAGCTGGCACTGCAGCAATCTACTTAACCCTACCCTCCTAGCTCCCCGCAGCTGCTCCAAGGGCAGGGAGAGGAGAAGAGAGCAGAGGTTTGCATCACTGCTGGTGAGATCCCAGACCTCCTGAGTGCTGGAGGCCAGCCAGTTTTGATTTGATAAAATAACTTTCTCTCAGAGCCTGATGGGGAGCAGGGCTAGGTTTTTTATTCTGTGACCAAGACCATACTGTGCTGCTGGGAACAGCAAGTCTGGACGTGTGCAGGGCACTGGGGAACCAGCAGTGGGTAGTCAATGGAAGGAAAGGGTGACAAGCTGAAACAAGGGACAATCCATTCTGGTCCTATGGCCTGGGGAGAAAGACTCTCCCGGCATTGGAAAGATGTTGCCTCTGATGAGGATAGCTGCTTAGTATGGGACCAGGGGTATAAAGGAGGAGGGAAACGAAGCACCAGATGCAGCGATGAATGCTAGGAAAAGCTGTCTGGCCAGCAACTTTCCCAAGGGCAGGGCAGGGAATGCCAGCATTTGGGAGCTAGGAACGAGCTCCAGCACAGGGAGTATAATGAGTGCCAGCATCAACTTAAAATGGCTCAAATTTTGAGAGGAGAAGAGTAGTTACTAGCAAATAAACTTGGCTTCTACATGCACACCCCGAACCCTCTTCTCACCACCTGTCTATACTCATCTAGGCAGTTCTCTGTAAAACAACCTGCCCCTGAAATGTCCTAATGTCCATAACCTCTTTCAGCGGGCCCTGAAGCCCAAGAGCGGTTTAGTGTGGCAGTCATCATTACTAGAGGGAAGGATGAGGAATGAAGTAGGTTTCTGACTCCACGTTAGTTGCTGAGGCCATAAGGACCCAAACTGATTTTAGCTTTCATGACAGGTACAGTGAGAAATTCGGTACATACAGTGCAGAAGGGGGAGGGGTGGCTTTAGTCATCCGCTGTCATTCCTTTCACTGGGTCCTTCTGTCTCATCTGGAACAGAAAAAGCAGGGGAAATTGAAGGCTCTTGCTGCTACAACTACAAACACATCCCACCTTCTCTCAGTCCTGCCTGTAGATATGATGGAGCATTTTTTTTGTGCACGAAGCAAGAAACTGGAGGGAGGGATTCTGCATACATCCACCACAGTGAAAGCCACACTATTTAGGATCTGTCTCCCTCGCCAGCTTCCCAGGGTCGACGTTAGTTATTAAGCCCCTCTCTTTCTTTCATTTAACACATATTTATGAAGCATCTGTTTCGTGCCAGGAACTGTTCCAGAGCTGGAGATTCAACAGTGAACCAAAATAGACAAAGTCTCTTCCCAAGGAAGGAACTTACATTCTGGGGCAGGGTGAGGGGAGAACAAACAAACATGTCAGGTGGGGCTAAGGGCTGCTGGGGATGAGAATGGCCATGGGTAAGTGTTATTTTGTAAGCTGACTATGGAAGGCCTCTCTGGTTAGTGACCGTTGAGGAGAGACCTGAGGAAGCAAAGCCTGTGGCTCTCAGGGGAAGGAGTGATCCAGGCAGAGGGACCAGCAGTTCCCCTTCCCACACTCTGCTTAGAGGTGTCATCCAGTTAATCAGCAAGAAGAATCAGGTGGCCACAATGGGGCATCAGAGTGCATCACAAGGACAGCAGAGTGGAAAGGGCAGCTGGGTAGATCATGGCTTCACAGAAGGGCCAGGCTGCTGGAAAATAGGGTGGACTCCTCTCTGAGTGGGCACTGGCACCTCCCAAGCAAAAGTGGACACAACTTCTTGTGGGGGGTGCCGGGGAGGTGACTTCTCTAAAATCCTTTCCAACTCCAAAAAATCGTGATTCTATTTGCAGACTGTCTATAATATTTGTGTATTTTAACTTCCCATTAGATGTTTCTTCAATATCCGTTAGCTTTCTGCTCTACTTTTGCTCTTTATTCATTCAGCAAACTGAGCACATGAGAGCATGACCTCTAGAAGCAAACTACCTGGGCTGTATTATGGCTCCAACACTAACTGTGTGACTTTGGGCAAGTTCCTCTGCTGCTCTGAATTTTTGCAACTATGAAATAGGAGCAATAATCATACATACATCATGGGATTGTGGTGGAGAATAATTAAGATATTCGGGCAGCGTACTTAGAGTGCTTGGCATGGTGTATACGCTCAATATATGCTATCTATTATTATGTTGTTATTGCTTTGATCCAGACACTGCAAAGGGGATGTGCACACAAGCTCTGAAGAAGCTGGAATTTTAAGCTACAGCCCTCTTCAGAGTGCTGTTCTAGTCACTGAAATTTTAACACTGCCACATTTTGCAGATTTTGTCTCAGTATCGGTGGTTCCCTACCAGGAAAATTTTTCAAAATTTTTCTCCCTGCCAATTGGCCCTCCACCCCCACTATTATAACCAGTAACTCCATGCAGAACCAGGGCATATGGGTAGTAAAAGTTCTCCTGTCCTCCACAGAGGTTCCAATGTTCACCGCCCCTCTTGATAACTATGAAAGAGTCCTGTTGATAACTATGAAAGAGTCTTGGTGGTACAATGGTAAGCGCTCGGCTGCTAACTGAAAGGCTGGCAGTTCAAACCCACCAGCAGCTCCATGGGAGAAAGATGGGGCAGTCTGCTTCAGTAAAGATTACAGCCTTGGAAACACTATGGGGCAGTTCTGCTCTACCCTGTGGAGTTGCTATGAGTTGGACTCGACTCAATGGCAATGGTTTTGTTTGACAACTATTACCCTAATTACACTAAATGTCTGAGCTCGATCTTTTAGGCCAAGGTTTCCTCAAACTTGATCAAAATAATTACCTGGAATGCTTGTAGATTCTTGGGCTCTAGACCTACAGAATCTACAGGAGACACCATCGGTGAGTCATATAATTAATCAGTCTTATAAGCCTCACTTTTCATCATCCCCAGCAAAGATTCTCTGCTCCAAAAAGGAAAGTCTGTTTTCCAACATCAAGCCAATATGTTTGTTTTCCTAGTCCCAGATCTTTGACCAGGCTCTTAACTCCACCTGAAATGTCTGCCTCCTGTAGATTCTGCTCAAATCTCCTTCCCTGTACGGCATCTATTAATTATTATTGCGCCTGTAACTTAAGTTATTCCATACCTATAGATACATTATTTTATGAGGTTTCAACAATTGTTTCACAAATTCAAGATTTTCCTATGTGACAGAAATCTGTTAAGGATGGGGCATTGGCACATTTTTAAAAGACAATGACTTGGATTGGAACTGGAGGTATTTGTGTGAACACAATATATATGTAAGATCAATAAACAAATAAATAGACATCAAAGCTCTCTAGTGCTATCCACTAAGGGGACCCAGGGACAGCAACACCCCAACAGTAATGAGCACACCTATCACCCAGATCTTGGTGGTTTCCAACCTCCACCCACCCTCCACTAAAAGGAAACCGGGCTCCTTGGAGAAACGGGCAATTCCAGGGCTGGGTTATGGAAAGAAAGAGATGAGCCTGGAACACCTTGCTGTTCTTCAAGTGAACAACATTAAGATCATCAGTAATGGGACAGATAGACAGGGTATAAATGAAAAGAACACCAAATCTGTGATATTTGCCTTCAAATACACCAACTAGGTGGAATCAGGAGGAAACATCAGACAAACTCAAACTGGGAGACATTATGCAAATGACTAGCTTATAACCTTCAAACATGTCAGGGAAAAATGCAGGAACTGGTGTGTCATCCTGGGTTGGATCCTTTGCTATAAAGGAATGAGGTCTCTGGGCCAAGGGGTATACGGTTTTTTGCACTATTCTTGCCAATTTTCTGTAAGTTTGAACCTCTTTCAAAACTAAAATATTTTTTACAAAGACAAAAATTTGCTCACTGAACGTCTGCTCAATAAATGTCAAAAGAATGACCATTTACATAATTTTTCAATAATCAGGAAGGCTAAGAATTTAATATTATGAGAGCAAAGCTCCTTGGATCTCAAGCAGATCCTTGTGTATCCGGAGAGTTCAATGCCTTGCTTTAATTTACTAATGCAAATTTAGGTTCTGTTTTCCTACTGCTTGAAATAAGATGCAACTTCCTATCAGAGAACTGCTGTCAAAGACAAGGTCCCCCAGAGGGTGCCCCTGAAATAAAAATTCATTGTTTCAGTTTTGAAATGCTCTAAGAATGCTTATTTCCTGGTCTGTTTCCTAGTGCCTATATGATATGAGAGATTTATCTGATGTTTGTAGTGTTCCCCACATCCAGCCACTGCTGGCTATATATACACATAGTTGAAGTATACGAAAATAGAAACTCCAGTTCCTGATTTTCTTTTAAAAGTAGGTCCTTGTTTACAGTGGTTACCTCTAGGGAATGAGGCCAGGGATTGGAGGAAAGGGACTTTAATTTATCTACGTATCTACTTATTTATTTGGACTTCTACTACTTAGTTTATTTTCTCTATACCTTTCGTAAATTGTTTTCACTCTTAAGTATGAAATATCCCTTTGATTGAAAAAAAAAAAGGTAAAGGATATCATTTGATATTGTGGTTGTCATATTGTACTACAGTTTTACAAGCTGTTACCATTGGGGACGCCGAGAAAAGAGTACACAGACATCTTGTATTATTTCTTATAATTGCATGTGAACCTTACAATTATCTCAAAATAACTGCATGAGCTGTAAAGCTCAATTTTTAAAAAGCTAGTAAGGAAAAAATCAGCTGAAGACATGGAAAAGTAACCACAAACCAATCCGCATTCTTGAAGGAACAGAGGTATGAGGCACATGTGGATCTCTTCTTAGAACCTTTTTAGAAAGCTACTCGTTCTATAAACAGGTATAGCTCTTAAAAAAGAAATTTGGTAACAGACAACAAGAGCCTTAAATTCTTTAATTCCATTTTTGGGAATTTAGTCTAAGGAAATAATCCTAATTGCCAAAAATCTGTGTGTACAAAGATGTTCATCACAGCATTATTTACAACAGTGAGAACCTTGAAACCATATTAAGGAAAATCCAACTCAGAGTACAGAGCAACATGTTTTGCAGCCATATATATATATTTTTTTTTTTTTTACAAGAAAATGCTTTGTTACAATATTCAGAGACAATATTAGGATACAACCTACAATCTCGCACATGTGATACAATCATAAGTAAAAGTGTGCAGAAAGACTAAGAAATATATAAAAACGCTTACAGTGATTGTCTTTAAATGGTGAGAATACAAGTGTTTTTTTTCTTTCTACTTTTCAGTATTTTCCAAAAAATGTTTAATGCTTATATATCACGTTAACATTGAAAAATTAAATCATACTTAAAAAAAAATAAAGCTACTCCCATATTTTGAGACACTGGCCGATGATGTGGTTGGTCTGCCTGGGGGTCAATCATTGCTGGGCAGGTCAGAGGGAATTAAGACTCCACCAGTGCAGCTATGTCCTTCACACACGGGGATCCCTCTGCCTCAAAAGACCAGGTTCTGCCCTCTGCCAACGCTATGGGAATCTTAGATTCAGACTCCCTTGTGGCCCAGCAGGTAAGCTAGGCATGGAGTGGTTTCTCCTTACTAGCCTAGCCCTCAGAACCTGTATCTCCCACAGTCCTAAACTGGAAACTGTGGGCTGTTGTGTCCTGCCACACTTCCCTACACAGGGAGGCGTACACAATCTCTGGGTAACCAGTCCAGAGCTTAAGACTTAGAATCTAAAACTGATGGTGACTCATCAGCCATAAAGCCATAGGATGGGCTGGGTAGGGACTAGAGGAATCATGGAGCCAACAGGACTTAGGGAGGAAGACCCACAAGGGGCAGTCGGAAAAGGAAATGCTGCAGAATCTTAAATCACGTGCTTCTAACACACAGTTATCTTTGCTGTTTTTCAGCAAATGTTCTAGAGAATCCAATAAACAGGGAAACAAATTTTCTTAAAATTTTTAAAATCAGTTCTCTTCTAGTCTTATTATAGGAGTCCCTGGGTGGCGCTTATGGTTAAGCGCTCGACTACTAGCTGAAATACACGTAAAATGTTTACCACACAATACAGGCACACAGTAAGACCTCAACAAATGTTAGCTTCTATTAATAATAAAAATAGTTTTATTACCACCATGTTCAGGAGACAGTGAGTTCCCCGTTACAAGAGGTGATCAAGCACAGACTGGACAACTACTTGGTGGGAAGCTGCAGAGGAGACTCAAGCTCTGGACATAAAATGGACGAAATGACCTCTAAGATGCCTTCCACTTCTGAGATTATGAGCCTCTTAAGAGAGGAAGAGCAAGGGGGAGGGAGGAAAAAGGGAGCTGGGGGTAGAGAGACTACAGGCACATATTTCTTGACATTTTTCTTTTTAGGGCAAAGGACTAATCTCTTGATCCCTTGTTTCTCATATCCTTGAGCCTCATCCAAGAATGGTGGGTCCACCCTCCACAGGGAATAGTCACAGCAGTGGTGACTGTGACCTGATAGTAACCCTTCATAGGTCACAAAAAAATCCACCCACACTGGACTACTATCTACTGGTTTAAAGAATAACAGTCATAATTTCTATTGCAAACTTGCAGTTAATCATGGCAGACTGAACACATGAATTTAGCTCTATACCTCCCCAAAACCTCACTACAAATGACAACAGCAGATAAGAGATGGTAACAACATTCTGGAAGATGAAAAAAGGATGGCTGAGTAGTAACCAATTAGTAGAGCAGCAGCAGCTGAAGGTTCAGTGCCTGCAAGGATGGGGGTCAAGAAGAAGACCAATTTGTGCTGCAGGTTTTCCAAAGCCTCAGGAACTAGAAGCACCAGGTACCTCTGAAGGTGGGAGTGCCAGGTGGCACTGAAAAAAAGGTGATGTGTTTGAAAGTCTGAATAAGAAACAGTTAGATCCTGGTGTTGCAGTCAACCAACCACTCCGCTGTGTCATAGCATAAGCCAGAGGTTCACTCTGGAAGTGCTGAACCAGGGAAGCCTAAACTCGGGATCCCGGGCTCAGCTGGTGGACTGTGGTGAGGTGAGGACTATGCAGAATACAGGGGGATGAAGTAAAGCCAACTGATGGCGGTGACACTGCCAAAACCCTTCCTCAGCTTGGCTCCCAGAATGCTGGCTGCCTCAGTTATCCTCCCAAGCAAGACACTGGAGAGTCCTCTCCAGGAGCCCTGGTGGTGCAACAGTTAATCGCTCAGCTGCTAAACAAAAGGCTGGCGCTTCAAACCTACCCAGTGGCTCCACAGGAGAAAAGGCCTGGCGATCTGCTCCCATAAAGATTACAGCCTAGAAAACCCGATGGAGCAGTTCTACTCTGTCGCTATGAGTTGAAATCAACTTGACAGCACCTAACGACAACTCTAGGCAAGACGACCAGCCCAAGAAAAAAAGATCCAGGATCCTGAAGCAGGAGTTCCACAATGTAACCACCAGACTACTCTGCAGTAAAGCTCACCTACTGATTCAGAGAAGTCCCAATCGGCTTTTCAGAGCTTCACTCTTAAATGTGAATGGACAGCCAAGATGGACCACCAGATATTTGAGGAAAGCCCCTAGCAAGAAACACAGAGGCCAACACAAGCAGGAGAAAGGAGCTTGGAGGAACCAAAGAATATTCACGGAGCAGAAGGGAATCTCAAAAACCAAACAAAACTATAGCTTCAGAAAATAAAAATAAGCATCTATAAAAAAAGAAAAAGATTAAAAAAAAAAAAACAAAAAAGAACACAGAACAAGAAATACTTAGAATTTCATAAATTCAGTAGAAGAGAAGGAAGTTAACTTTGGAAAATTTCTCCCAGAAAGTAGAGAAAATTAGAGGGTCAAGCTAAGAGGTCCAATTTCTGACTAATGAAAATTCCAGAGAGAGAACCAAGAAAACAGACAGGAGGAAATTATAAAGTAAATAATAGAAAAAATTTTTCCAGAAATGAAGAGATCTTTAGATTCAAAGTGCCCACCAAGTGGGAGAAAAATGAAGGACAAGGGACTCACACGTAGCACAGTGCTATGGAAGGCACCTCACACTCCAACCAAATCACACCACCTATTCAAAGACTCCAAGTTTTAACCTAATGATAGGCACACATAAAACGAAACAAACAAAAAAGTGAGGCAAGTATTAACTTCCGAGAAAAAACAAAAAATTGTATAAGAAACGAACAAAAGTCAGAGTAGACTACATGGCTCAGCTGGAAAAAAGAAAACTGAACGATGGATTCACCAAAAACTGTGATATAACCAGATTGAGAGGATGGAGAGGGAAAGTATGCGAGTGGTGGGTCGGGTAACGAGCTAAATTCTTCCCGAGGAAGCAGTCTACAGTTCATAACTAAAGGTGAGAGATTAAGAACTCAGAGCATAAGCATTTTGTTTAGAAACATGGAGGAAATCAAACAAAAGAAACAACAGTAAGAACTGCAAGGGCTGCCTCTAGGGAGTGGGAATTCGGGGCAGAAGAGGATTGCTTCTTCCTCATAAGCTGGGGATACTGAGTTTTAAACTTTGATAAAACGAGTGTATTTTTAGAAAAAGAGAAAAGACAAATGAGCCAGGGGTACAGCTGGCACACGAAAAGCCCCATATGCCGTGAAAAGGGCAGAATATGCAGCACAACGGCACGGGTTTGGTTTGGCTCTCTCTTCCATTGGAGATTATGGTAGTTTTAAAATTCTAATTCCAAAGAGGGTTTCCTACATTTGCAGCTATTCCAGAGGACAGTGATCAGCTAAGCTTTTGACACAATTCTTCACAGAATGAAGAAACATGCAAAAAAAGCGGGGAATTAAAAAAGAACTAACTATGTGGGCTCTCAAATTTTGGATGTGAGAAAGGCAGATCCAGTAGATCCTCTGGAGAGTTCTTCCAGCTCCTAGAACTTGAATTCCACCCAAAGGGCAAAAGGTCGTCAGCAGATGTTTCCATGAACCCCAATATATTTTATGCAGGCCTCTATCAGGCAGCAAGTGGCCAAAGCTCCAGGCTATACCCCAGAGAAAATCTCCAAGTTCCTCCAGTAACTTTTTTTTCTTCTTTTTGTCAGCACTAGAGTGACCAAAAGGCTGAGGCTTATATATTCAGAACTGCCAGAGCCCTGGACATTAAAACCTACCACTTCCTGAGGATCCTTAGCAGAAGAATCAGGGACTGTGTCCAAAACCCTGCCACTTCACTGCCAAATGTAGCTAAGTGAATAACTCAAACATCTGTTTCAACAGGAACTAACTCAGTGCACCACTTAACCAGTGAGTCAGCCAGGAAGACTGTCATCCCTGGATGGCAAAAACAGTTCCCTGCCGGGCTCCAGAGGAAGGAAGTGCTGCTGGGCCCAGTATCCACCCTTCACAGCACAGTGGAACACGAAGCATTTGTGTAGCGTGGGGGTACCATAGGCATCCAGGCCTGGCTCTCATCTGAGGCCCTGCAGAAGAGCTGGGCAAGCCTGCTGTAAAACCATGCCTCTGCTGGACACCCAGACTCCACACCAACCCACCCAGGGGTAAGGAGGGAGAAATGGATGGTAGTTCTTAGGAAACAGAGCTTCCTGCCTTACAGTTAGCCCTGAGAGGGCAGGGAGGCCTCAAACAGCATTTAGAGGGAGAATTGGAAGCTAAGTGACCTACAGGCTGTGCAACCTCGGACATGGCCTTCAGCTCTCAGAGCCTCCATTCCTCCTCTGAGTGTGGGGATAACAATGATGCCTCCTCCCAGGGTTGTGTGAGGATTAACTGAGATGGTGTGCCCTTAGCACCTTGCCTAGCACACAGAGAGTGCTTGGATGTTATTAACCGTCTCTGGGAAGCATCCCCAGATGAGGCAGGAGGTAGGTCTCCATGCTTCCATGGAACAGATAACCCTCCTTCTGGGATCCATGCCAAGGCCACCCCTGCCCCAGAAAAAAAAGGCAAAAGCTCCAAACTCTAAAAGCAGCTCAAACCAACCTTATAGAGTAGTCAGCTTCCGCATGCGCTGTCACTGTCCTGTGTAACATGCCTGGTATTCCTGGATCAGCCCAGCCTGCCTCCTCCCAGGGTCACCTCCAACTCTGCGGCCCAGCACGAGCCCCCCAAGCTCTAAACAACCACTGCGGCAACTCAGTTACTCATTTGGCATTCAGCACAGACCGCCAAACTTGTCTCTGTGGATGTGTCACGACCTCAGCTAGACTGCAAATTCAAAAGCGCAGGCTGTTTTCTTCTTTATAGCTCCTGAACTGCCTGGCATGGTACCTTACCCAGAGTAGATGCTGACACATTCCTAGAACCACAGGATGGTGCGCTCAGTGAGCTGCCCCAGCAAGACGGTCTCCTTACTATTCACCTATTTATTGGACCGAGAGCCCCAGAGCCTCACCTGAGCTCCCACTTACCTCATCCAGCTGTCTCTTTGTCTCTTCTTCCATCCTTCGAATGTCATCCATAGTCAGGTCAACCCACTTATCGAGCCAACAGAACAGCTGCCTGTGGAAGTTTGTGAACAGACGCTTCTCTTGCTATAAAAAGGAGGAAATCAACTTAGAATGCAGAGGTGAAGGCCAGTGCTGCAACCCTCCTCCCTGTGATCTCTGTGCTGATACCCACACTTTACTGGGGAGGTGGGGGAGGGAGGAGTGATGCCTGGGTGGCTTACGTGGGTCGGTCAGCCCCCAAGCCTCGTAAGTCAGTGACCTTTTCCCCTTTGCCTTCACATGTCTGACAGGTATGGCTTCAAGCAGGAGGGAGCCCCTAAAGAGGATGGATGCCAACCTCACAGCCAAGCCCTTTGCTCAAATACTACCAAGAAAGGCAGCCCATGAGCTCAGAGCCAAGCTAAGGCCCCAAAACAACTCTGTTAAGTTTCCTTTTCATCTCTGGAGCCTAAAGCCAGGTTAAAACCGGCCAGCAGCTACAGAATGTGGCCCAAGAGTGAGACTCTAACACATTAGAGAATAAAAGCCTATTAAAACTCCTTCAGTCTGCCCACTTCAGTAATTCAGGGCACTAAAGAATTTGGCTCACAGTGTCTCTTGCTTTTTAGCTTCAAGAAAAGAGACGTTCAACATTGTGAAAATGCCAGTTCTACCCAAAGCAATCCATAGATACAATGCAATCCCGATCCAAATTCCAATGGCGTTTTTCAAGGGGATGGAGAAACAAATCACCAACTTCATACAGAAAAGGAAGAGGCCTCAGATAGGTAAAGCATTACTGAAGAAGAACAAAGTGGGAGGCCTCACACCACCTGATTTTAGAACCT